AAAAAACTCATGAAAACTAATATTAAAATCTTCTGAAAGATAAAAAAATACCGGTAGTTGCCTCAGAATGAAAATGGACAAACATTTTAAATGTCGTAAATTAATTGAATAATCTTACTCTTTGTACACAGTCGCCTTCAACTTGCAATGAGTTATCATACTATCTAATTTGAAAATTTATCATTCATTGCTCAATTAATATGATATATTTCAGGCCAGATGAAAAAGTCTTATTGTAAATACACTTATTAAATGTATTTTGCAATGAATCTAAGCAAATCTAGTCTGAGAAACTCCTTATATACTTCCTGAGAATCACGGAGATTCGGGGGACAGAGCGTTCTCCTCCCAATGAGGTGGCGCAGGTTCAGAACGAATTCTGCTTCCAGCTCACTCCGACCACAGAGCTGCTGTGAAATATTCTCATTGGTAGACAAATTATGGGCTTTAATCCTCTTGCCATCGGGCTAACAGTAGAACATTTTCGTACTTTCCTCTTCGAATATTAGTCCTAAAGCTTGGTCCAGGCTTAACCCTTGCCTTCAGCATTGGGTTCAAAATGACGACATGTCTACAGAGTTGAAGATTGATATTGGTCAGATTGGGTAAGCTGTCCAATGTGTGTGATTAAATAAGATAAATATCTTTAAGACTAATAGATTGCGTGTGATAAGCCTAAGATTATCAGAGTTCTAGAAACTTTTTGTTTTCAATTTGCGTGGGGCATTGCAAACTGCCTTTGTCTGCAAACAACGATCTATTTCAAATAACCTATGACAGATATACTCACTCGAATAAAATAATAATAATAATAACAATATTAACACGTAAGAGTAACAAGATAAGCTGATGCGTTCAGAAATAGAGAACTCCTGATACAACTGCTCACGTTGATGATGTCACATCTTGCTACTTTCATAACAATGCTAAATCTTAACTGAATGATCACAGTTCTATCCTACCCCTGCATTTCGAAATGAAATATATTTTTAGCTGGTCTTCCTCTTTAGGCAACTCCGACTGCTTCTTCTTCGTCTGCAGCCTCTCCTCCAAGTTTTTCGTTTTTAAATGTGTGTTTTTTTTATTCCCAACATGTTTCTCCTTTCATCATTCACGTGGACGTCATGTCATTCAATTTGCATTGTTCATGTGACGCACTTCGTCGGGACACGATGCGCCAAAACTTCTTGTAAGATGGCTCGACTTTTGTTCCATTTCAAAAACGAAGTTAATTTCAAATGAACGTATTTCAATTAATCCAGGAAATCTGAATCTGCGTTTAAGTTCGAATAATTAGGAAAAGCGTATTTGAAGGACTCACGCAGACGAAAAAGGTACATTTAAAGTAATTGAATTCAAAAATAAATAAATATCGGCTCGAAAAGAAAAAGGAGTAAATGAAGAAAGACATGATACTTATTTATTTTTACATCTCTTTGGTATTTCAAGCAGTGTTTAAAGCAATTTGACAGCATTAAGCATCTCTATAAGTCGGTACAAAATGTGTCTATTTATGAAATAATGGATATAAAAAATCTCGTTAAATTCTATATTATTCTTTGTTCAAAAAAGATCTTCACATTTTAATTGCAAAGTAAATTTCATAACGCAAACTTATTGCAATTTATTACTTGTACAAATCACATCAAAATATATATTGTAACATTAGTTGTGTACGAAAATATAATTTAATATCTTGTTTATATACCATCAGTAAAATAAGCGCGTTGAGAATTTTTTGTTTTGGGTATAAACTTTTACTATTCTACAAAAGCAATTTTCAAAAAAAAGAAAGAAAAATAGTTCAATTTTATATCAAATCTTTTGTCTTTTCTTTTCATGGCCGCCTTTTCCGTTTACTCATTTGTTTGCATTGTTTTTAGGTCTCAAACTATATCCTATAAAATTCTTTTCGGTTCTGATTTTGTTTGCTCTGGAAAGCTGTTAAAAATGAGACTTTTTTAAAGTTGAAAATGGTTTTTAAGTTACAATGTTATTCTCTGCAATTTTTTTTTTATTATGTGCATTAAAAAAACCTTTTATTATTCCAGTACGAAATTGTCTTATTAAAATTAACAGGTTGTGATATTTCTAATCTATATATAGAAAATATTTTTAAAATCAAATACGAAATGAATTTTTTTCTATTAGCAGTGTATTTCAGCATTACGATAATTTCTTAGTTCAATTTGTTTTTGTACAATTTACTGATAAAGATAGACTGATAAGATCAGAACGTTTCGGCTATCATGAAACGAATAAAAAATAAACATATAATAAATATTATAATTTCTGAAAAAAATGATAAATTGGAGAAAATAAGCTATGTGCACAAAAGCTATAAGTTTTCGATTACGATGGTTGATTCATTTCCAACGAATTATGAACTTTTTTATTATTCATGACTGAAGTAAAAACAAATTTCAAGCATATATTTTATCAAATTAATTTTACGAGATATGAAATAATGATATAAACATACGATATTTAGAGGAATATTTAAAATTTATATTTGACCATATTTTAAAGTTTGCACAGATATGGGTATAGTACTATTTTTCTTCGATTAAATATTTCACGTAAATTTTAAGAAATGGATGAGAATATTTTCAGAATTATCGCATTGTCAAAGTTTTAATGTATTTTAGTTTCCCTGTTGTTTTAAAAATCTATTTTTAAAAATTTGTATTTCTTACCAAGGAGTTTATATTGAGGTTTTCGATATTGAATTTTTTCACTGTTAAATTACAAGTTCAGTTCATTAATATCGCTAAACAATAAAACATGATTGCTTAAAAACTTTATTCAGGAGTCTGAAATAGAAGAGATCCAACTGAAAATATTATTTCGCTGAGATGTTATGAGATTCTATTTCTTTCAGCAACACCACTAAATGGCGTACAGGTTGTTTCTCAAATTAAAACAGATTAAAAACATAGAAAATTTTAAGCAGTCCGGGTTTCATTTTTAAAAGAGTTGTTAAAGAATCCCGGGTATAAATTAGGCAAAAGTCATATAATGTGTCCGAAAAATGACCAACAGTTTGAAAATTAATAAAGAATAACTGAAAGTGACGTATGGTTTCTAATGTAGTATTTAGGAAATTCCGGATTCCGTTCTTAATATATTTCTTATGAAAGTTGCAAACAAATAGCGTTTTTGACACACAAAAAATAAAGCAATGCTTTTTTCTGAATATCAGTCAATTCCAACTGAAATATTTCCCCGAAAGTCGGTTACCATTTTCCTTAAACAGAACCACATAGCTTTTAAAAATTGCTGGACTTATTATATTGCTTCTTGAGAATAAATATCTCGTTTCCTAAGCAGAAAACAGCAACTACTATATTTTTTATTTGATCCAGTTCTTTTTTTTCGAATTATTGGGCAAATTTAATGCATCCCGTATTTATAACCATATAATGAAAAAAAATTAAATTCTTTGATAATGATTGTAAAAGCCTAAAACCAATGCTTAAAATTAAAAAAATAAACATATTACATTAAATAATTTCAAAAAGTGTATGGATTTCCATGCCACAGTAAATCATTGTCCTCAACGCAAAGAAGAATACAGAAAAATAGCGATATCAACAAAAAATATGCAATAAAAAACAAAAAAATAAGAGATAAAAATTAGTATAATTGGAATGAGCCATTAAGAAAAATAAATCATTTAAATCCATGAAAATACATCCTATGCTATGCCAGCTGAAAAAAGAAAAAAAAAACAAAACTGTGAGGTCTCAAAATTTTTTAACTTTAACCAAATGTGTTAACCCTCGATCAAAACATAAAAGGCTTCTCCATGATTGAAATATATATGCTATCATAATTACTTTGAAACAACAATATAATTATGATTTGTAACATGGGTTTTTGTTTTTTACAATACAGTTATTATGAAGAAAAGAAATTATCATGGATCGCATACAGTTTAAATTCGTTAGTAATAGTAATGGTTCTTCGTAAATTGATCATTATCAGTAAACTTTAAATTAATGATCAATCTGTAAGTAGTAAATATATGCATAAGATAAAACAAACTCCGATATTCTTGTGTCACTACTTTTCAATTGGGAAATACACGACATTTTCAACTACGCCAGGCATTTATATCATCAAGAAGACAAAGATGTAAATTCCAACTACTGTGCTGCTGTCCGTCGATAACACACAGAAGCACATTTTGAAACAGGTTGGATAATGAAAAATTGTAAGGGAATTTTACTGAGCGTATTGTATAATCCAACATAATTTATCGTCATTATTAGTAATTGTGTACAATGCAAAGCAATCGTTATCATTATCAGTAATCATTCCATTTAAATGAAAGGTTAAAAAAGTAAGTGACAGGCGTTAATAGAAGCTGACGGAAACACATCTGTCTTGTGTTGCTATGTTTTCATTGGACACACTTCTGAAACTCAATCTAGTTTAAAATGATTATACATTAATGAATAGACATGATAATACAGTGTTTTTAAAACTATTGTGATCTTAGTGTTCATCTTAATTAATGATGTTACTTAGTGTTCCCTAGCTATGGTTCTACGGAACCAATCCAAATGAAATTTCAAATGTATGGTACTTAGATCACAATTCCGAGGTTTTTTGTCGAAAGAGATAGCTAAAAATTTCGATATCAAGTGGTGCTATAAAGTTGTAAAAGGAAAAATAAAAGCTCAAGGAATAACGAGATATTTTATGAATTTACACACATACGTGTCCTATGTGCATGCCTTTACTTGTGATTTAGCAATTAGCGGGAAAAAGAATTAGATATCTGAAGGTCTACCTCTGCGTGCCGCAAATCTTTTTACACAAGCAATAAATGCTTTTGAGGTTAAGTCGCTGACGACTTCAAGATGAACTGCCTTCGTTGCGAGGCAGACGAAGACGCATATGTAGCACTTAGTATAGCGGCTGCCTCTTCCCTTGGAGCTCCGTATTAAGAATGGGCCGGCAAAGTCAAGACCAGTTCGTTGGAAAATAGAAGAGGGACAAACTCTGGACTCTGGAAGATCTCCCATGATTTGCTCGGCGAGCCTTGGACGATTTCTGAAGCATGGGATACATTTTATCACCACTCTCCTAACTGCATCTCTGGCTGAAAGAATCCAAAACTTCTCTCTGAGAGCTGCTTGGAGAAGTTGCGGACCGGCATGAAGAAGTTTCAAGTGATAATCCGTGATAAGTAAGTTCACAATATGGTCGGTTTTAGGAAGCAGGATGGGATGCTTCTTTGATTCTGGAAGCAATGAATTTTTCAGTCTACCACCGACACGAATTATTCCGGAATCATCGAAGAATGGAGTCAAGGGAATAAGCTTGTTATTCGAAGGAAGTTGCTTGCCTGTTGAAATATAGGATACTTCCGTCGGAAAATGATCTTGTTGGATGAATTTGACAATTCTCTTCTCGGCTTCATTCAATTCTGCCGTTGTTAAGAAGGATTTGTTTTGTTTTATCTGCAGCAACAGAACAGTTCTTCATGAATCTTATACAACAGGCAACTGCTCCTTTCAGCTTGTTCCAAGACGAAAATTTTTGAAAAAACTCTGCCTTGAAAGTAGCATCAACTACATTCAACATGATCAGCTTGGTTGTTTTGGCTTCGGCAGTTATGTTTTCTTTTAATTGTGGATCATCTTCAAACCTTCCATTAGGAAAAGTAGAACTATTTAACCAATCAGGTCCGTTGAACCACAAGTCGCACTTTTCTAGTTTAGTTGGTGGTATCCCTCTCGTTCCACAATCAGCTGGATTCTCCAAACCGCTCACAAAGTTCCAGTGCACGTTAGGAGTCAGCTCTTGAATTCGTGCTACTCGATTAGCTACGAACGGTTGCCATCTTCTTGGTTCGGACTTCAACCATGCCAGTGTGATCTTGGAATCAGACCATGCAAATGTCTCAGAGATTGGCACAGTTAGTGTTGGCAAGGTAGCTTGTAACAAATTGGCCAGAAGTAAGGCAGAACAGAGTTCCAGTCGAGGTAGAGACTGTGGTTTTACTGGAGAGACACGTGTCTTGGAAGTTAGCAGTCTAGATGTCACGGCTTGGTTTGTATCTTTGGAACGAATGTATATAGCAGCACAGTAGGCCTTTTCTGAAGAATCACAGAATCCGTGTACTTGTACGTCGGTAGCCTGTGGAATGAGGATATAGC